CAGACAAGAATATATATTTATTTATTAGTAGTTTACTTCTAAAAGTAAATACAAAGTTAGATATTTTGTAAAGTAAATTAAACGTGATTGTTAGTAGATTTTACTGTAGTAATATTTATCAATTTGAACTATACTTGAACTTGTTTGAAAAAAAATGAAGAAAATAGGAGAGTGCTAAATTAACAAAAATGAAAAAGAAAATACGGAAAAATAAAAAATGATTTCGAAAATAGCTTAGAATTCGATTTATTTATTATTAAAAAATAGTGAATGCAGATACTAATTCATGCGAACACATTCAATCAGAAACGCTAATAAAATGTAGATGAATTGTATCTATTCATTTGAAGTAATATTTTTAAAAAAGGGCCACAATATCAAGATAAACTGATTAATCATTAATATGAAATACAAATTTAAATTCTGAGAAAAATCTGAAAGGGGAAAAATAAAAAGGCAACATAAAAATGTTGGACTAAATTCAAGTCTCCGTGCAGCACGGACAATTTTTTTTTTTTTCAAACTCAAACAACTTATATATATTTTATTTAAAATAAAAACATGAAATCCAAATAAATTATATGTTTTTGAATTAAGATTTTGTCAATTGATGCTGAAGACATTTTATAAGTCAATAAAATTGAACATTCTGTCCATAAAGCATCAAAATCATAAAGCAGCCATACCTTTTTTCTCCTATTATGTTTCCTTTTGACTTCGTGGAATTTATCCGTACAAGAACATTGAAAAATGAAGGAAAGAAAGAAAGAAAAAACCTTGTCAGCTTGCAATAGGAACTTATATAAGGAAAAGATGGTATGCATCAATTTTGCTTTGAGAATAGATTGTGTAATTCGTTAAAATGTAGAAAAATTAAGCAAATGAATCACAAATTTGAAGTTTAAGTACATATGATGATCAAATTGATAAGAGGAGGAAATTTTAATCCCCAAAGTTTTTCAATAGGGTATTCCAGTTATAGACCCCAAGTATATACACATCGACTGTGGAAATTTATAAATGTACACCTATATTGCTTAAGTAATCTTTGGAGGTAGCTAGGTAAGGAAACACCAGTGTTGATGTAAGATCAATTCGAAGCATTCAACATATAATCAAATTATGATGCAGTATAGATTGAAGTGACCAGCAGAAAAAGCAGAATAGATGCTACAGAAGAAGAAGACATATTTCACTTTCCTGTCCCTGCGTAAGACAACATCAAAAACAATGTAGACATGCAACACATCAAATCTTTACCTATTAAGCATGAAAAGATTGTGAATAAGAGCAAAACTAAAAAGTAAAAAAGAAATGTTATCAAATTAGCTTAAACTAACCATGTTGTATCAAGATTATCACAATTAAACATCATAGAATGGTACGAGGACCACTAAATTTTTTTTGTAGGAGGTATGAACTGGGACTGGTTCCAATGCAGTCAACAAAGATCAATAAAAGCACAAACAAATGAGTAATAAGGAAAGATAAATTGACATGAACTAAAATTTAGTAAAAAATTATGGATCTAGAATGATTTCATATTTTATTATATCATAGTCATACAAACATAAGGGTGCAGTAAAACAACCTCTTTTGCAGCTTCCATGCTCAATGTACGCAGATCAGCATCTGTTCCAGTTACTGTTGATCCTTTGCCAATAACTGTTTTCTTCTTCACCATTGCATTTGAAATTGAGGCCTTAGGAGTTACACGAACATAAATAAAACCTAGACCCAGTCCAAAAGGGTCACCAATACCAGTAATCTCTAGACGCTCAATCTTTTCTTCATCCTAATTATCAAAGGTAAGATCAATTTCTAATTACATGATTCTATACATATATGGTTTAAACAAGTATATCACAATGAAAGCAACCCAATGTCCTTAAATTTAAGGTTCACAATATGATATATTGGAGGACAACTGGAAAAACCTTAAAATAATTCTTTATATGATATTCAGATCATTTGCAAGCAAAATTTTTTTATCATTAAAAAAAGGCAAAAAGTGATGGTTATAGGGCCATTCATTCTGATATAAATTTTTGAAGCTCCTATTAGATTTATTTTCTTAAAATTTCCCATTTATGTACTTATTTTAGGAAAAGTAGTAGGATTTTATTTTATAGGGTTTCTAGTAGCTCAGGTATTTCTTTAATTGTTTCCTACTATATTAGATTAATTAAAATGTTACATAAAGGGAGCTTATACACGTGTGCTTGATTAATTAGTACATACATATTTCCTCCCTACTTCTCTTCTCTCTCATTTGTCTGATTTTTCTTGCCTATTCATTTTCCCCTTCTATTTCTTCTTGCCTTTCTCTCTTCTCTCCTTTTTCCTTCTTCATTATTTTGGTTACTATTTTTCATTTTTATAGGTGCACTTGGCTTATTTTCTGATCAAGTAGCAGCAAAGCGGGGACAATTCTGAATCATTATCATTATATATAAGTGCCTGTGCTTCAATTGTAGGAATTGCCAACAGAAGCAAAAACATAACCCTGCCAAATACCAAATTATCCAGCATAAACAAATAGAAAGCCAATTAATTAGGAACTGAGCAACTAGGCGACATGGGGAGGAAAGCAGGTAAAATGGCAGAGGTGCCAAGTGAAAAAGATATAGTAGATGAAGAAAAGTTTGAACAGAAATCCACAGGGAAGAATAGAAGAGAAGAGAAAAGCAAAGAAAAGAAAGACCTGTTGTATTCCATTTTCTCTTGCGTTTTTCCTTTAATTTAACTAAATGAGAGCAAGAAAAAAGAAAATGCCTGTAGTGTACAATCAATAACCAAAAATATCTATTACGATGGATTTACATATGTAAGTATACATTCTAAATGAAAAATAAAAA